CGCGGGAAGAGACCGGGAGGGGAGGGGGGAAAAGCCATGGCCCAGTTCGTGTATGTGTGGGTGTGGACGGGGCAGTGGAGATGGGAAGAAGATGAGGATGAAGAAGGAAGAACGCTATGATTACCGGATAGAGACAGAGATCAGCGCGGGGATTACGGAGGCATCGGTAGGCAGTACTTTGGCAGCAACAACAAGTTGGCACAAATTTACGGATAGCCGATCAGCACAGACCCAGAAATTGAGTCGCAGGATGCAAAGGATGCATGACATATCGATAATGCGGGTGTATGCATCAACTATTGAATCTGAATATTGAGTTTATCGCATTAATCAGATAGAGATGCAGGGCAGTGAGGCAGTGAGAGCCGACTGACAAGTCAGCTTTTAACTACGTATATAACTAGAGTCTAAGACAAAGTTCTGACGATCCAGGAATCAACCAAAGCTGACATCCTGTCATTCCTGTCAAGTGAATCACCGGGTCAAACTCTGAACATTGGGACCAAATCCCGGTGGAGCTGCCATTCCATAACCCTAACTGTCAACCACCAAACTAGTGTCCGCGCCGGCCGTCGCTTGCGATCAACCAACAAATGAACGGGCCTGTATCACCCCCATCCTTGTCCTCCGTACTTAAGTTGAGGACTCTGCAATTTCCTCGGAAGTCTAACTATCATCTTCCGTCCCAACTGCAGACCAATCTAGTCCCTACTTATATTATTTTTTCTCCGGCTCGATTCCTCTGTACTCCGTAGTCCGTACTGTACTACTCTGTTTTCAGACACTGTCCCCGTCAGTCAGCCACTAGTAACGGAGTAAATCCTAGTCCCCTTCACTCCATTATGCAGCCAAGACAGGGAGTGTCGACGGGATTAAAACCCGCGATCGGCGGGCTTCCAACGGTCATACCCCCCCCCCCCCCTCTCTCTTCTCGTCTGGTCTCCCCATTCTTTTCTTGGGTGTTTGTGTTACTATAAATCGCTGGCTGTGGCTGCTCCACTGGAGCAAATACTTGTGAGCGCGGTTGTGTTACATTAGCAACAAAGTACATTGTCTATTTTTAATCACCGACTGGCATTCCTTACTTTGCTATTGTTTTCCTCTTCACAAGCTTCTTTGTTTCTTTCTTTCTATTAGGTTTTTTTTTTTCCTTCAATTCAAGTCAGTCCACTCCATTCACAACCTACGGATTCGTCATCCATCCACTATGGAGTCGTCTGTGGAAATGGAATCCGTCGATCTTGTTATTGTCGGAGCAGGTATTTTCCACTCAACTTCCCATCCCTTCATCCTTCCGTCTATCCCTTGCATGGCCCTTCCCGTCCCATTCCCTTGACCCCAATGCCACTCCATCTATCCATTCTCACCTTCACACTACAGAACACTAACACAATTTGCAAAAGGATGGTCTGGTCTCTCCGCCCTCAAAACCTACCACGAGGTGCACCCCACCGCCCGCATCCTCCTGCTGGACAGCGCCACCACCGTCGGCGGCGTCTGGGCCGCCCACCGGCTCTACCAGGGCCTCAAAACCAACAACATGCTGGGCACCTACGAATACAGTGACTTCCCCATGGACAGCGCCACCTTCGGCGTGAAGCAAGGCGAACATATCCCGGGACACGTGGTACACAAGTACCTCAATGCCTACGTGGACCACTTCAACATCCGGGACCTGATCCGACTCGAGACGAAGGTGGAAGTCGTCGAGCACGTCGACGATAATGACGGGGGTTGGACACTCACCACCAGCACATCCCCCTTCTCTTCCTCCTCGGACGAAGTCCAAAGGAAGATAATTCACACAAAGAAGCTATTGCTAGCAACAGGAATGACCTCCGAACCATTCCTCCCTCACATCCCAGGACAAGAAACCTACCCTCACATCATCACCCACACCGGCACTCTCCTCCCCCACCAAGCCACCCTCTTCCAAAAGGACAAAAAGGTAACTATCTACGGCGGGACCAAATCCGCCTGGGACGCCGTGCACGCCGCCGCGACGTCCGGCGCCAACGTCACATGGATCATCCGCTCAACAGGCCACGGGCCGGTGTGGATGACTCCGATGTACGTTACCCCCTTGAAGAAATGGTTCGAGAAGCTCCTCACCACGCGGCTGTTGACCTGGTTCTCGCCCTGTATCTGGGGCGACGCGGACGGGTGTTCACGAATTCGGAAGTTTCTGCATGGTACCTGGCTCGGCCGGAAGATCGTGAATGCGTACTGGGCAGTGCTGGAGAACGACCTGTTGACATTAAACAACTACGACGGGCACGAGGAGACGAAGAAGTTGAAGCCGTGGTTCAGTTGCTTTTGGATTGCCAGTGGACTGAGTATTCTGAACTATGATGATGACTTCTACTCCCTTGTTCGGGAGAAGAAGGTACGGCTAGTGATTGATGATATTGTGAAACTTTCCGAAGATGGAGGTATTCACTTGGGTAAGTCCGGGGAGGTTATTCAGAGTGAGGGGTTGATTTGTGCTACCGGGTGGAAAGCCCAACCCAATATGGAGTTCAGACCCGCGGGCATTGAGTGCGAGTTGGGTTTCCCATGGGCGGAGGATTACTTGAGTACGCCGATGGTGAAGCGGGCGGATCAGGAGATCTTGACGCGGTTCCCGAAGCTGCGCGAGAGTTTGAGTGTCGGTGTTAATGGGAGAGAAGATTATGAGCACCTGGCTCCCGGGGCACCCGCTACTGCGAAGCATCCGTTCCGGTTGGTGCGGTTCATGGTGCCGGCGGCGTTTATGAAGGAGAGGTCGGTGGCGGTGCTGGGGACGACGATGACGGTGAATACGCCGCTGATTGCGCAGGTGCAGGCGCTGTGGGTGGCGGCGTTCATGGGTGATGGGATTGGGGTGAAGGCGAGGGAGACGTGTCCGGTGGAGGTGAAGAAGGGGTTGATGGAGGATGAAGTGGACGGGGATGTGGTGTGGGAGATGGCGCTGCATACGCAGTTTGGGAAGTATCGGTGTCCGGGGGGATATGGGAAGAGGAATCCGGATTTCGTGTTTGACACGTTGCCGTATATTGATCTGTTATTGCAGGATATGGGACTGGATTGGCGACGGAAGGGCAGTTTGAAGTGGTTGGAGCCGTATGGAATGGAGGATTATCGGGGGTTGGTGGAGGAGTGGTTGAAATGATCATCCCCATATTTAGTTAGTGTACTGGTACCTTGTAAATAGACAAGTCGAATGTGTCCATTTCAGCTACAACCTGTTGAAATTACTATTACTACAACTACTACAACCTGAACCCTTCAAACACAGCTACTCCCCCATCCAGTTTCTGGCCCCCAACTGTCCCCGAAACTACCCCATTCCACCGGAAATAATTCTTCCCATCACCAGCCACTTCCACTGTCCCTTGGATCCGTAGCTCCACATCGTCCATCGCCAGATCCACACCGTAGCTACTCGCCGTCATCCTCTCAAAGATATTGATAATGCTGTTACGGCAGCCTGACTGCACGACCTTCCCATCACGGGCCAGATAGGCGCTCACAATCGGCGTGGTGTTGTTATTATACCCTCCCTCTCGAGGCGTGTACTGCAGCCACACCAACGCATACGGTCCGATATGCACATGGCCCCAAGACCAGGTCTTGACGATATTCTGAAACGGGCGATTGCCCCAGTTCTAACCCTATTAGACATAGACCAACACACAACAAGTGTAAGATAAAGAAGAGGCATGATACCTACCTTATCATGATACCCAAACCCCATAAACTGCAACTTCTCCCCATCGACCACCAAATCCACCATCGCATGCGAATCCGGCACCATACTCACCCATCCCAGACCCTCACCGAGACCCAACGCCCGATTCCCCTGCTGAGGCGTCGAGCAGGGCAGGAGTGGCGGAGCGAGCTACCATCATTACCACCATCATTAGGATTTCAACATCTATCCGCTAATGGCAAGGTATACTCACATCCCTCATCTGTATCCTCCCACTAACCCTCCCCCCCTCCCACCCCACCCACGCCTCATACCCCGATTCTCGTCCCGACCAACCGCCCGTGCCCTCCCATCCACCCGAATTAACATCGCGATCGCCCATCACCGACGCATCGATCGGGACGATGTTCTGGGCCACGGTGGTGCCATTCGGCAAGGTAGCCCAGACGTAGGTGAGCAGGACGGAGGAGAGGTTTGGCGGGACAGCAGGGAAGGCCCTAGAGGTGGTGGTGAAGAAGGTGAGGACGATGGAGGCGTTGGGGTTAGTGGAGGAGACGACGTCGAAGTACCACCATTCGAAGACGGTGGTGTTGACTTCGGATAATTTGGGGGATTCGAGGTCGGCGAGGTGGGTGGAGTCGGGGACGAAGTCGACATAGACGGGGTAGTCGACTGCGATGGGGTTGATGTCTTTGAGGTATTGTGCGGTGGTGGTCGTGGTGGTTAGGGTTATTGCTGTGAGGAGGAGGGGGATGAGGAGGGGGGAATGCATGGTTGGTTGGTTGGTTGGTTGGTTGGTGATGATGTGGATGAGGTGGCTATTAAGCAATTTGTCTGCTAGCGATGCTAGCAATAGCAAAGTCAGGTATTGACAATAGTAGCAGCTTTTATGGACATGGGCACTGCGTACACCCATTGCAGCGGTGAGATGCCTGGCGGAGTAGTAATGTTTCCGGAGACCTTGCATAGCAGGTTGCTCATGTGCCACTCAATCAATCTGAGTCAGACCAAATTCAAACAAACAATCGCTCATAAGGGGAAATAGAAAGATGGTAAATAACAAACATTCCAATCCATACACGCTGGCCAACGCCTCTACTTACATACGTATACATGAATCAGGCTGCCCGACGCTGATGCCATCCCGAAAAAAGCAAACAATCAACAATCCGGTCCCAACCTGTCCCGTCAAAAAATAAGTCACAGTCAAATCAATCAATACAAACTCGCCGTCCAGAGTAGCTGGTCAATCAAATACAATAACGACCCTCCATCAACTCCAGAACATGCGATAAACGCCAATCCCGTCTCAGTGCTGTCCATTTGATTCGTCACTTCGATCCTCCTCCTTCACCATCCCGTGATCCCCTGGCTTCATGCCATCAGAGCCGTCTTTTCCGCAGCCTTTCACAAGGATATGTCGCTGTACTCTGTTAGACTATACCGAGAAACTAAAGACGGCAATGATCTCACCTTGAGTGCGTCCTTGCGTGAAAAGCTCTTGTCGCAGTGGGTGCACGGGAACGGCTTCACCGAGAGATGAATTCGCTTATGTCGCTTCAAGTCGTGGTTGCGGTTGAAGCTTTGTGGACACTGGTCACACTTGAACGGTCGATCGTTGGTGGGTCCTGGCGCGCCGTGACCCGGATGGGGTGGGTGACCCCCATACAACTGCTGCATCTGCTGCATATTGGCCACGTGCCCACTGTTGTACCCAGGCAACCCAGGCAGCACCCCGGACTGCAAGTTTCCGGTGAGTGACATCTGCCCGTTGGGATTGTGCACATTCGTCCAGATGGGTCCGTTCATCGCCGGAAGCGAATATGACGGCCATGGCTGTCGTTGATAGTTCAGATGGTGCGAGGGGTGCGGATTTGATGCCACCCGGTTGGGCACAATGCCCTGTTGTCCGTACGGCGGATAGCCGCCCGGTGGGCTTGACAGCTGCTGAATATTCCCATAGGCTGGAGCAGACGACGATTTGACCATATAGGGGTCGTTCGAAGGAAGGGGATGCGGCGACGGTGCTGGGTTGGGCAACGGGTTGTGTGCGGACAACATCGCGTGTGTCATTGCGTGATGCTGCTGAGGAGCACCCGCCTGAACTGGTGCAGCAGCGGAGACCGAGGCAGATTGGTGAAACGGAGGCAAGTGATTCATCTCGTATGACTGGGCGATGTGCTCGGTGCCTGGAGTCGACGTGGCAGGGTTGCGATTCAGGGAATTCACCGACGGGGAGAAGGTGTCTCGACTCGGATACACCACACTTGAGTTCCACGACTGACGGGCAGCTGCTGCCCCTGACCCACTCTGGTATGCGCTCTGGCTTTGCCAGTACGGAGTCAACTCCGGATTTGTGGGTGCCGTCGTGGTGGCTGTGTGCGAGGTCGTAGCAGGCAGTGTTTCACCCGACTGCGTGGTCGCTGGTGGAGTGAGAAGGTTGCTGACGCTGGGATTAATAGGCGGAGGATTGTGATGGGCGTACTTGACGCTGGTCTGAAAGTTGGGTGCAGGAAGCTCAAAGCTGGGCAGAGTCGGGGCTGCAGGACGACGCGAGTTCAACGGCTGGTGGGTAGTCAGCGCATCGAGCGCCGTCCCCATGCCTGGAGGGGGGATCGCGAGGGCAGCCAGGTTGGCGGATGTCTCGCGTGAGAAGCTAGAGGAAGGAAATAAATCACCCACTACCAAGGAAGAGGGGGCGGCCAAGGTGCTGGACAGATGTCCTGGGAAGGCGACCGAGTCAGATGCAAGGGTCCAGTATCGACTGCCAGACAGGCCACCGGCAATGTCTGGAGGATCCAGGAGGGGCGATCGGATCGCGATCAGCGATCTGAGTCTGCAACGGGGGTGGTCCTGGGAGATCGACCGTGGGTATGATGCTCGACGGGTACCACCTGTGTCGGTTGTTTCACGATCGATGAAGAGGATTTCACGTCAGGTTGGATTGACCCCAGTGTTTTATCCGGAAGTCATATCCTATCCGATGGAGCGAGAGTGCTGATGCGACAGAAGAATCAAGCGCGGACACGGCAATGGAGAGAGATCGACGAGGTTGGTAGGATGGTTAGGAAAGGCGTATGGCGATGAGAAACTGGTCAAGACAACGGCATGATCTTGTTTTTTTCTCCAGGCAGGCCAACGCGCCCTCACGCGATGCGCACGAGAGAAGACAGAAATAGTTATGTGTTATGCGTTGATGTGGATGCGCGGGTGAAGATCTGGCGGAATGACAGTTTAGAGTACCATGGACGGGAGTTGAGTGGCAGCGGGGATGGTAGGATCCGGCGCGCGTAGAGCAAGATTTGGGAGGGCGGGAAGAGGAAGATTGGCGGGCGGAGTCGGAGTCGGGAGTTTGTGTTGGCAGTGGTGGTGGTGGTGGATGATAGACGGTTTGGTGGGAGCTGAAAAGAGTGGGAATTAATTAGTGGTGAAGATCGGACAAGTCGTGGGTGGCGCTGATGGAGGAGGGAAGATGCTAGTTGGATAAGCTTGCACGGCAGGGAGGGAGAGGAGAGGAGAAGAGAAGAAGAGAAGTCGTGAAAAGACAAGCAAAAGGAGGGGGTAAGTTCAGGGAGGGAGATCTTTTATTGTTCGTGGGAAACGAGAAAGAACAGCAAGAAAGACTCGGGATGGAGAGTGAATATGAATAATAATATGGATTATTTGCTGATGGGCGAAAATGGGGAGGACCAAACAAGCCGGGAATGGAGACGTATCCAGACCAGTCCAGCGCCGGGTCTGGCCAGCGCGGGGGTTGAGTTCACGCCGGGAAAAAATACCAGGGAGAACATACCCACCCTGACGGTCCGATAATGACTAACTCCCTCTCCTTCACACGCAGTTTTTGTTTTTTTGTTTTTTATTTTTCGTTTTTACTTTTATTTTTTTTTTCTATTTATTTGTTCACTCTTTGGGTCATGGTCTGAATTTACTTATCTACCAGTCTTTACCACTACTGAAGATACCAAGCAGGAGGGTCAGACTGATACAGAGAGAGAGAAAAAAATAATTAGGGAGAGATGGTGAGATACATAGCACGACATTCATCCCGTACTCACGCAGGACTGTTCCAATCCAATCTTCATTCGTCGTATTAAATTTTTATTACTCTTAATATTATTCTTTCCATCAGCAGTCAATTAAAAAAGAAATAGAAAACAAAATAAGACCAAAAAAAAGAATAATAATCTTCTCAATCAGCAGACTTCAAAAAAGCAGCATCCAAAGCAGCTAGACTGGTCCGACCGCATTGAGTGGAGGATTCCCAATCGGGGCCAAGACCCAACCAAAATTTCAGCAGAAATGAATGAATGGATGAATGAATGCTTGCCTGTTGCTCACTTTTCTTTTCTCAGGATTTATTGAGTATACTTATTTTTAAACACACCTCTCTGTCTTGTTTTTACTTAATGCTTTTTAATTAATAACAAATTATTTATTTTCGCTATATTTCATGTAACCGTAATGGAGTGATTCCATTCAGGCAAAAAGCAAAATCCCTCTCCATGAGGTGAATCAGAAAAAGTAGAAAAGAATAGAAAGGAAAATCAGCATTAGGAGAAAACACACACACCCTAAGAGAGACAAGCCCAGCCGCGCCCGGACAGGCCCAGGACGTTCCGCCGGTATTATTGAAAGGAACCATTGGCAACAAACTTTCCTACCTGACTGAACCTTACCAGTCACTCAATCTCTTGTCTCTGTCGCTCCCTCGCTCACCCTGAACCACACCCGGATGGAGCCATTCTCCCGGTCCAACCATCCCCAAGCGCAACTGGACTATCGACCACTTAAGCCTAGCCTAGCATTTCCTAAGCTAAGCCGAACCAAACGACGACGGCTCGCTAAAAACACACTGAGCCAGTCCCAGAATCCCAATCCCTCGACGCCTGATCAACGGCAACGTGGTTGACAGGGCTCGTCCAGGCGCCCAAGCTGTTCCGTTCCACCTTTGGCGCTTCCCACGGTCGAGGGGGGCGACTCGGTTAGTCGGCCACCAAGTCCTCCACTGAACGGTGCAGAGATAGATAGCTAGCTGATAATAGAAACCTCAAAAATAAATGAATAATCAATAATCTGCTCCTGATGAGCAGGGAACTCGCAACCATTCCAGTCATTTCCCATTTCCCCCTCAATATCCTCCAGATGAGACGAGATATGGACACGATTCTTGTCGTCTCGCCCGGCAAATAGAATCGTCCAGACCCTCTTCTGCAGATGGACTTGACCCGAAAAGGGCCAGAATCAATGGTGCCAGAAAACCGGTTAGCCCTCCCAGGATCTCTTTTGGGTCTAGTCGCTCCGCCGTATTGTTTATCCAATCTCAAACTGCCTTTTTACTGGGGTTTCGCTGATTGCCCCCTTTGGCAGCTTCTCAGGGAAACAAAACAAAGTCACTGTACTTTACACCGTACTTCTGTTCTTATCCTTCTCCACATCCTCCCCTCCCTCCCATTGATTTTCTATTTTCTTATTTCCCCTCTCCCATTACTCCATATGGTTCTTGGGATCGTAAAAACTAGGTTGGCTGTATGTATGTATAGATAGGCATGTGGAGCGCCGTCCCGTCTGGTCGATCGGCCACCCCGACCCAGCAGGGAATGCTGGCCACTGTTTTGCCCTGTTTGGTGGAGTTTAGAATAAGCTTAGCCCTCTGCGTCGGGGGTAGCGATCACAGACGAGGGGAAGGGGGAAAAGGAGGGGAGTGGTTTCTCCAGATCGACGGTGGATGGTCGGGAGAATTAACAACGATCAGAATGATGGCACGGATAGAGACGCGTCCACCCAGGGTTCATCTCCCAGGGCACCAGGGGAGAAGAGGGGCCGAACAGAAAGCAGGAGCAAAAGAGGGCCAGCGAACAGGCCATTCACGGAGGACACGCCATGGCCAATCGACGTGGTCCGGCAGCAATCAACACCAAACCAAATAATCAAAAATCAAAATACCAAACGAACAAAAAAAAAAGAATCGAAAAAGCAAAGCACGGGGGACCCGAAAAGGGGCAGGCAAGCGATCGTTGCTCCTTGCGTCGAGGAATGCATGACAGATGCCGGGCGGTGGAGGACACAGCTGAGGCTGATCGGGTCGGGGCGAGAGGATGGGGAGGGGAAGCAGGAAGAAAGCCATGGCGGTCCCTCATTGCTGGTAAGCATCATAATTCTTGGAAATCATAATTATTAGAAATATAATCGGCAATAATTAGCTGGCAGCTGGGGGAGAACATAGATTATTCTTAGCAGAGCAGCCCACGACCGGCCGATGTACGGAGAATTACTAGGGTATAGCTCGACGGGGAGATCCACCAATGGAACATTCTACGTCCTGGGGGGAAGATGTCCCAGTATGGTATCCAATGACCTGCTGATACAAGATAAAGATATCACTAATTGAAATGCTCACAGATTTGGATGAAACAATATCGGGACCCAAAGGGAAAGGTGGTTTTTGATCCACGGTTGATGTTTTTTTTGTTTTTCTGGTACCTCGTATCCGTCGGCCATCGACTGCTCTGGCCTGGGCCCTGCTCTGCTCGCACGGACACTTGCGTCCCGGCCCTCATCCCAATGCACTTGCGCAGAAAAACCCATTCTCCGTCAAAGGCAAACGGTCCCTGGTCCGCTTCTTCCATTCCACGGCCAAGGTCACCTGTTCTTTCTCCTGGGACCCTGGCTCTGACGGGGGCAGTCCCCCCGATCGTTTGAATCGCTAGAGGATGAGATTCCAATCAATCTGTCCCATTCCTCCGAGGATCCCCCCCAACTTCCAATACGAGCGCATATTGGACCGACCAACGATAGGGTTGTTGGCACTTGTCAGTCAGTCTTGCGGGCCATCCACCCTACCGTGCTGCACTCATTCATTCATTCCCCCCGGGGGAGGAAGAACCAAGCGATAGGCAGGGACTGGCCTGACCAAAGTTTCGCCAATCTTGGACCAGCGCTACTGATTGGTGGATAGGTCCGTGTCTGGCAGTATACATACTTACTCAGTACTCAGTATTCAGTACACTACTCCGTAACTAGTAGCATCTATCTAACTACTTACTACTGGGTCTTAGTCTGAGTTATTACTCCCATGCAGACCGTCGGTATGAATATTTTACCTGCTCTGTTTGTGTTTACCCAGGTGGTACAGCGTCGATACGCTCGGTACTAGCGCCTTGGAAGAGAGTCTGCACTGGCTGGCTCGGGCTTCGGGTGTGGCCCACTATCCCCATCCGGGCGTTAGCGTCGACTCTCCCTCCGTGATGCCCCACCTGACTTGCCTGGCTGGTCGGCCTGCATCTTGGGACAAGATAGCCGGCCATTCAGACGCCAGTCTTGCTTGACACGCGCAAGCTGTACACCTACACTCCCTCGGTCACTTACTCGGTTCTGTTCATTCTGAGGATTCCAGAGAACTTGATCAACAAACTACACTTTCTAGATGCTAAGCTTATCTGTATGCTGGGTATTGGTGTTGTATCCGCTTGTTATGTACTTCACGTATGGATAGCCTCGGATGGCTTCAGCATGGCTTCGTCAACCAGGTCAACCTTAATCACCGCCATCCGCGATGGGTGTCAACAGTCGGGTTTCAAATCAATCCGCTGAAGAAACGCATATGCAAGCCCCGTGGACTAGATGCCAACCACCGCAGTCATTGGTTCCCTCGGAAGGTTGCCAGACGAGAAGGATCCGTGGATTGACCAGACCTACCTATCAACGAACCTCTCCCCGGCCTAGGATTACCGCTAAATAAGGGCCCCCCGTCCAAGGTACTTACCTACTGGAGGAGGAGGCTACTTCCTCCTTGGGCTGGGTTCACCTCCTCCTCTTCCTCCTCCTCTTCCCCCCATGTCCTGGGTAGTGCGTGACCAGACCGCGCAAACAAAGAGGCGCCGGAAATCACAAGCTTGGCCTCCTCTCCCTGGAACCTAACGGTCCACCATCTCTAGCCTTTCCCGACGGGAGGTGCGGCCAGCACCAGCCTGTCGGTATTGGCGGGGGTTTTAGGGGTCGGGAGATCGAGGGCGGTGGCGGCCACGGTGACAGACGCATTAATAATCACCAAGCAAACTGTCTTTCATCCATCCCTCCATCTCGACACCATTTCCAGCCAGTCATCCCATTTTATCCTCCGTACGCATGCTACGCCATGCCATGCCATGCCATGCTGTACCCTCTCGGCTGTGTCTCGCAAGGGGGTGTCTCCTTGCCATTACGAACAAAAATCTAGTCCCCCCGGTCCGGGCAAACAACCCTGCCCGGAAGCTCCTCCTGTGCAACTTGGTGCAACCTACACAGACAGGGGGGTTCGATGGGTCAACTTGTAGCCAATGTGATATGTGCATCGTCGATCAAGCACATCTTTATGACCAGTCTTTTTTGCCCCCTTCATTCAGTCGCAATCGCAGCGTAGAGCCTGCGAGATTATAGCCAGGAGAACTAACTGCCGACTCAACGTAATGAACTAGCAATGACTCTGACTAGATATCCACTAAATCAACCGGTAGTCTTCCTAGCCGCTCAGGAGAGCTGCTAGTGTGCATTGGCCTCGAAAAGGGTCTGCTCGGACGTTATCCGTCTGCAAGCTAGGAGATAGATAGGAGATAGCAGCAGCCGGCAGATTCCACACCGTACTTACCACCGCGACAATGACTAGAGTAGATTACGTGCTGCCGTTGATACCTTTCCGACCATGACAGACTCAGTTTACTTCGATAATATCTACGAGGTACTAAGTGAGATGGCGTCGTCAACCCGACCGGGATTGACAACATGTGATAGGCTCATAGCTATCGCTCTTGTCACGGTGTTCCTTGCGCCCGTCTGCTAACCTTGCTGTCAACCTAGTTTTATACTTTTCGTTCCGGCTGGGGGGGGAAAGGGGGCCAAGAGAGGTTCTTATTCGCGCTAAACCAGCGAACATGATTTACCTACACATCAGGCTTGGCTGCGCAGGTGTGTCGCTGCTGATAGGTGGATTGTAACGGACGAGGTGAATCATCAACCGAACTTAAAATACGGGAGGGGAGGATAGGAGAGATATCACAGTTTGCAGGTTACACATGGAGTGTATCAGATGTCGCGGGCTGACACATTAACCACTCAGCTTGTGGAGTGGCGAACTCAGTTATGGAAGTTTTTATTAGCGTACAGTAATCTTAAAGATTCAGCGTAGACATAAGTACCAACGAAGTTTATACACCAAATCGCATACACAATTCTAAGATATGTTCCCGAAACCAAGGGAGCCATGGGTGACTGACTAGCGGCGGCAACTGTAAATGACAGGGCAAGCCTTGCTGTGTTCAATTCCACCACAACTCTATCTATTAAAGTCTATTGCAATCGGCCTTAAGCCTCAGAAAACGCCAACACGTATTGCATGCACTCATCACCTGAATTCGGGATATGCGGGATATGCTTAAAGATTCAAGCCTTTTAGATCATACTAACAACCCACTCTACCTTAGAGCTCAAGTCATAAGCCACCACCACCATCACCACTACAAAACAGGATTCCCCCATTTCCATCTTCAATGGCACAACAACAAACGTCAAAGAAAGAAGAAAAGAGAAGGGAAGGGAAGAGGCTCGAGCTCAGACTCCGTCCGGAAAGCTTGAAGCGGATTCAGTTTAGGAACCTTACGCCATCCGGCGGGATGCAACGTAGCTAGTAGCCTAAGGGAGTTGTTTATTTGTTTGTATCTTTCCTGACGGGTCAATTCAAGTAAAGTAAAGTAAGTAAGTCTAGAAAGTAAGTAAAGTATATTTCTTAATCGCTCATTGTTGAGTAGTGTACTTTGATCATATAGATTTACTGTGGATGAAGTGAAGTTGCGGTCTAGAAGAATAGTTAACTATTTGTAGGTGGTCATTAGTCAGTTATCTCGGAGTGGGACATGCCCTCTGAAGAGAATGACTCGCCTGGGGATGATCATTCCTAGGTAAATACTTACCCATTGATGATGGGTAAATGAGCTATTTTGATGCAAAGAAGGCTAGCTAGCTAGCCTCGCATCCTTCAGGAGCTTACTCCTGATTCATCTTAGTACGATACACTCATACAATCATACACACCTCAAGTAAGCAAGCACCATCGCATGGTCAGTCAGTATCTTCCCTCATGCAAGGCGTCAGTCAGTCATTCAGTCAGTCAGTCAGTCAGTCAATGCGCGATAAACGACTTACCTACCGACCAGGTGATCATCCCCTCTTACTTAGTACATCCATGCCACTCACTAAACCCCCCTATTCACCCTCCCACCCCATCACTAACTACAACCATCTCCCCGGTTATCTTACCGACACACCACTTACCCAACTAGTCACATACATACATACATACACACTATCCATGCATGTCAGCCAATGCTCCGTCCGCTCCACTTCTCTTTTTCTTTCCTCTTTTTCCCTCACGCAGTCTACTTACATACATTACAATCAAACCCCGGATCCCGAGCAATCAAGCAAGTAAGCGATTCGCCACTACCCTACCCTAGCCAACTAACTAGTATTAGTCTCTCCCCATGCCTAGACTAGCTCGCCTAATCATCCGAGCGCCATGGCGAAAAGCCCGAGCCAGTGCTGCAGGAAGCTTGATCTAGCTAGCTAGTATACTTAAGTAGCATGGTATCTGTCGTACGGATTGGCTTGGCTTGGCCTTATGGGGAGAGGGGGCAGTATTCCGTTCGTTGTATATATACTTATCAGGAGTGTTATAGGAGGTATTGTTGCATTGACCCCGTGACATCGTTTAGATCTTAGTAAGGGGTTGTATACATTATTAGTGCGGTGTCTGGATGATACTATACGCAGATACAACCTAGGCATGAGTAGATGAAGAAAATTCACATGTTAAGGGAAGAGAGAGAGAGAGAGATGATAACGGGCCTGATCGGTCGGTCGGGGTTTGGTTCCCCTGAATTGAAGTGCACTGACTGCAGTGATTGAATGAATGAATGGAGCCCTGGTTTGTGCACACTATAAGTGGCTTTGTTATACAGTGGGAGCTACTATTATAATAGGAGGTATCTCCGAGTCAGCCCGAGGGAGGTACGGAGTATATGATGTAGTAGTAGTGTCTTGCTCGCTTTGTTATCAATGTTTCTATTCCTAGATTATGCGTGTGTGTATGTCTGTGTGGCAATACATATGATTACTACTGTAGGCTTGATATTCATATTGATCTCGGACTATCGTATTCCGACTTCCGATTTGAGTCGAGTCGAGTCGGTCCGATAAAGTATCTAGTGGGTGTGCTACTCTGACAGAGACAGTAAACACTAGTTATATATTATTTCATATGGTATTAGGAGGATGTCTAAATTAGAGTAGGGTGTTGGGGATTTCTCCTCAAATTGTTGTGTGGCGATACCTGTGTTGCTTTATTATATATATTTATGCTGTGCTGCTTGTGTAGTATTCTGACATCCACTTGATACTATCATAATGTTAGTATCTCCGACGCTTGTTGTAGACGGACACTCCTTATAATAGTAGTAGCCACATATGCACATCTTCCCCAGTCCCTACTACTTATCCACCATACTATCCACTGCAAACCCATATATAGCTGATAATATACCATTGGCAACACTTATCGCCACTCTGATCATGTATTAACAAAAGCATCTACTACTACCTGCATGTTTCAGATGATTACTTATCAGAGTGCACACCGCCTCCGCTCCCTACCAGCACCATATCATCTATCTACAGTCTATACATACTGAAGATCTAACCCATTAGAAAACAATAATCTATCACCTCACTACCAAGTATACTATACTATCCGTGTAAGGATACCTGCCAAGCACACCAAGACTCCCAATCATGAATAGATACTAGATATATCATCTCCCTCTGTACGAGCTTGGCAGCTTGGCAAGAAAACCCTCATCAATCAATTATCATTATATATTCCACCATCAAATACGTATAGACAACATCAATAAATAAATACCGTACCATACCATACACCAATACGGACTAAAATAAACTAAATTAACTAACTAACTAAATAAACAAATCTAAATCCGGCACGGAACTCACACCACTGCTGCATTAATCGATCGATCACGAGATCGCTGCATCGCTACTGCAAGCCTAATGTCTCTCTTTTTTTTCTCTCTCTCTCGCTTGACTCTACCGGCCGAAGGAGAAACCTAAATAAAAGAAGAAAAGTAATTCGCATTCTAAGCTAGTGAGAATTTGGGGGTGGGAAAAAAAAAGTCCAGACCAGTCTAGACTCATGCATGCTTGGCATTTGTGGTTAGGGAGGAATGCTGGGGGCGGGGAAGATCAGAGAGGAAGGATTACTTGGGTTAGGTTAGTTGGGTTAGGCTGGACACATACACATGCCATGCCATGCCTTGCCATGCTTGCTATGCTTGCTATGCTGGGTGGAACATGAAGGGTCAGGGAAGGGGGATGTTTAGTGGTGAAATTAGACTGGGGAAAGTAAGTTGGTAAACTGGGATTGAAGGCTGCGGCGCTGTGGTGGCTTTGGATTGTGGTAGTTTATTTGTAGTCACAGGATCTATCCCAGTAACTAATCACTGTATGTGGCTATGTGAATAGACTACTAGGCTGCTTCATCATCCTCAACATAAACATCATACTTGTACTTACTCCCCGGATGATCCGCTCTCAACTCCCTCTGTCCCCGTCCATACACCTTCTCTCTCGCCGTCAACCCTTCCTCCTCATCCTCATCCGCAACAGCATCAGGATACAGCCCTCTCCTTCTCAACTCCGGCACCAACAATTCCACCACATCCTCAAAAGTCCCCGGAGTAGTCACATACCCCAAATTAAACCCATCCAGATCCGCCTCCCTCACCCACCGTTCCATCTCATCCGCTACCCTCTCCGCACTCCCCACCGCAACAGGCCCTAACCCCCCAATGGCCGCCTTCTCCGCCACGACCCGCGGCGTCCACCGCGGCACGTCCTCACTCGTGGTGGTAAACGCATCCAACTGACTCGTGACCTTATGCGCCTCTAACGAATCCGCCGCCGTGATATCCTGATCAATCGGGATCCGACTAATATCGATCCCCGTCCACCCGCTGAACAACACCAGTCCCCCAATCACAGACGCGTACTTCTTCACTTCTTCATACTTCGCGCGCGCTTCCTCGTCCGTCCGTCCGATGATCGGCGTGAACGTCGCGAAGAACTTGATCGACGATGGATCCCGCCCCTGTTCAGCGGCTAGACGTCGGATGTTGGCGATCTTGGGCCGCAGGACGGTGGGCGAGTGGCTCGAGACGAAGATCGCTTCGGCGTGTGTCGCCGCGAAGGAAGACCCCGCTGCTGAGGTGCCAGCTTGGAAGAGGAACGGGGTCCGTTGCGGGGATGGGTCCACGATGTGGCGCGTGTTCAGGGTGAAGTATTTTCCCTTGTGGTTGATCTGGCGAACCTTGTCCGGGTCGACGTAGCTGTCGTTCTCTGGGTCCGGGTTGAGGGCGTCCGGCGCCCAGGAGGATTCCCAGAGTCTGTTGCATGATTCATATTAGTGGATGAGGGAGGGTATAGGGGGATGGAAGGTATGGGGACATACTTGTATAGCACGCGCAGGTACTCGTCGGCTTGGCGGTATCGCTCGTCGTGCTCAATAGGCGTGTCAAGACCAATGGCCTTAAAGGCTGCTTTCTTCCACGAGGTCACGATGTTCCATCCGATGCGGCCGTTGGTGAGATGGTCTAGCGTGGAGAAGCGCTTCGCCAGGAGGAATGGTGGCTCGAAAGAGGTCGAGGCTGTGATCCCGAACGCGAGGTTCTTGGTCACGGCTGCCATGGCGGAGATGGGCTGTTCAGCCTGTCAGTATACATCTTGCAATGGGTGTAGGAGCGACGTACAATTGTCGGATCAGTGACGGGCCACTGCGCTGCACGTCGGATGCATTCGTCTAGTTTGCCTTCGTACGTGTCGTATCCGCCGTATGTGTCGGCCAGGAACAGGGCGTTGATGCCTCCGCGCTCGAGAAGCTTGGCTAGGTTGATCCAGTAGTCTAGCTTGCGCTTTGTGGCTGACTTGTCGGCTGGGTTCTGGATGTGTCATGTCAGTATAGTAGCAATGGATGTTGCTTGGGGATTCTCACCTTCCATTGTCCTGGGGACAGATGGCCCACGGTGGACATGTCAAAGGCATTGAGCAGGATCTGCTTCTTGCCATTTTGGCTGGTGTCTGTACTGATGTCGCCCATTGTGTCTGAGATTGATGTATTTGTTGACTACATTCATTGGAGTGTAGCAGTGATATAGCCTGGTGTGGTGTGAGCCCCTCACCAATCCCGCCATCAGATGTTGCCATGGCGCAAGCGTGTTATCAGTGGGATGGACATGCAGGATACAAATTCGCCATTTTCCCCGCATCATGCGCGACACAGTTCTAGTCTTTCTATGAGACACTGTGCTCCGGTGCCGGACGGTAGTGGATGCTAAATATACACCATATGCAGGTATATTGCGTGACAGCTAGATAAGATGGCTCACTTTATCCCGAACGTCTAATTGACTAATTCCATCCCCTCTTTCTTCACTTGACGTCTATCCCTTCCCCATCAGTATACCTATACTCGGTCTTAGGCCGTGCAACCTGCACGACGGCAGATCCAGACTCGCGCTCGTCTCGAGAAGCCCCCGAGTCCTCATCACTAGCAGCTATCGCGCGATCCCTAGACACATTAGCATCACCCAAACCGCAAGTATCGAAGCAGACGTACTCTCTCGAGATAAAGTACCTCGTAACGTGCGCCGACACAATCAAGCAGATCGCACAAGCAAGCACGAACGAATACCCCTTTGTGAACCTCGGCCCCTCGACCGTCGGAAACACCAACAGCGGCGTCCACGCCGTCGTAGACTGCGCAATCGTATTTAACACAATCAAAACAATCGCCCTCTCATCTGGCGAATGCCGTATCTCACTATTAATCCACCCCATCAACACACTCGACATAGCCACAGACGAGTACATCGTCGAGAACGCAAACCACAGCGCCGACTCCGGCACATCCCAAATAACCTGAATCACCAGACCAATGATATTCCACACATGCGCCAGCGTAATCGCCCACGCCGGCCCCAAGACCAAATCCGACGCGAAGCACACCAACAGAGTGTAAAACATACCCAGCCCGGGCGCGATCGCAAACAACTCGTTGACTTTACTAGTCGAGTACCGATTCAGACTCTTCAACCAGAGAAGATACCCACCCGTGTTGGTTTGCACGCACGCGTTCCAGAAGAAAATGTCCACGCACAGCAGGGCCCAGGGCTTCCAGTTCCGTAGTACACGCGCACAGGTCTTCCATGAGACGCTTGATTCCTGGACCCCGTGTCCGGCTTTCTGTAGCCGGGTTCGGACGAGTTGGATGTCCGATTTGCTGAGCACGATTCGGTTTGGTTTGTCCGGCGTCCCGGGGAGGACTATGAAGCCTAGGATCCCGACGGGGATGGTGATCACCGCGCATATTATGTACATCCATCGCCATCCGGCGAGGCCGTTGACTCCGTCGAGTTGCGCGGATGCTCCCGCTTGGATGAAACTTGCGGTTAGAGTGCCGAGTGTTAGGCCGAGGTAGAAGAAGCCCCCGCGCCGGGCGATTTCGTGGCTTTGGTACCATGAGCCTGGAGGTGTTAGTACTTCTTGGAGGGTGGTGTTGATGGGTTAGAGGTACCGAAGATGTAGTGCATTCCGGGGAAGAAGGCAGCCTGTGCAATGTCGGTTATTAAGTGGAATGGGGATAGGGGTATGGGTTGGGATGTACCTCGAACCACCCTACTAGAAAGCGATATGCCATCATCTCTTCATACGAAGTAGCGCGGTATTGCAACAGAGTGAATACTCCCCAGAGCAAGTCCATCCCCGGGATCAGGTACGAGATGGGGTATTTGGTGAACAGGTAAGCAAATGGAAGTTGACCCAGGACGGCACCAACGGTGTATATGGTTTGCAGGTTGACGAGGTCATTTCCTTGGAGGTTGAGGGATTGCTCCATTCCAGAGACGTAGGCATTGTCTGTTGGTAGACATCAGTATTGTTGATTTCTTGCTCCAGCTGGGAATACATGTCTGTGGGTGTGGGGGAAGGGGTAAGAAGAACTGACTGATATTTGCCTGATCGATATACTTCGTCCAGTAGGCAAGAAAAGCATACGGAACAATGAGAAGGTCGAGTTTCAAGAGGAGACGTCGTTCCGATGGTGAGTCGTCTGGCGAGAACCATCGTATCCTGGGGAATCTCTTATTTGCGAACATTGTGATGCTCATGTGTATAGTTTGAATTTGTATAGTATAAGTCAATGAGTGATGAGACCCTTGATATATCTACAATGCGTTGGCCGATGCTTGGAGACGTCGATGTCACCATAGCATTCCTTGTATTACGTGACAACTGCCTATCTACTGCATCTTCCTGCAGCTGCATGTGTCGTGTAAATCTCCGGAAGGTGAGTCTATTCTTCCTGCCTATCTGTTCAATGTGACTGGATGGCAGGATGAAGCTTGAATTGTCTGTGCGGTGTGGGGATCAGCACGGGTGGTGTCAATGGGGGGTAAGAAGGCGTGCTTCTTGGAGGAGTGGTGATAGCACTAGTGAGTGGATCGGATGGGATGTTGATTACTTGGTCGGAATGAGGTGATTTGCGAGATTATAGAGACGTTTAAGTAACAAGTAGTATTCAGAGTATTGAATCTATCTTTTTGTGAATAATTGTATGTCCGTTATCTGATCATGTGCAGTGATATATGCGCTTAGTCCTATAGGCTTCGCTGTATAATCCCTTGCGTTTCAAGGATGGCAATGATCTTAAATGTGTGCTGCAAAGTATACATTGAAACCAGTAGTCATATATGATTCAAGGTTTCTTGTTCAGTAAAGTTCCTTATCGGCCATGCCAGGTGTAACATCAATATCCATACATGTACTTATTCTTGGATACCAAGATTTAGAGGCAGAATGGCCGGCTTGGCTGCTGCAACAATGCCGATACCGGGATGAGAATTAGTAGTGCATAGATTAACCGGCATTTACATGCAGTAGCATATAGTAGCATTTTAGTAGTGAAATTTCTGCTGCAGACCCAGACTGTGAGGTGAATCGAGGAGATACGCTTAAGAACATGACATGATAACTGGCCGATTGTTTCTGGCACCATAGAATATATCCTCTAAGCCGACTGGCTTCAAAGACAAAGTCGATCAATTGATGGCTAGCAAATGATACTGCTGAGAAGTCAGACATTGACATGATCTACAATGCAGTTTCCAGCACGAGATTAGCTTCAACGCAAGGCTGGAATGTCAGCCCTGATAGCTGGACTCATTGATAGGCCTTTTTTGTTGGCACATAGATTTAAAATAGTACCATGGTCATCAAGGCAAATCTTCGGAGGTACCTTATATGAGGGCAAGATGAAGAAAAGCGTGTTATTGTCATGTCATAACCACACTGTGTGGCATATCGCAAAATGCTGGTTATAGAAGATCTCCAATCTTTATATTACTTAGTAGGAGAGACATATACAATAGATTGTAGACATGAAAGACAGACTGAGTCTTATATGAGGCAGCCCACATTATGCATGCCAGCACCGTGCTTGATTATGTCCTGATAAGCGAGTAGGCCCTAAGAGGAACCTGGAATGTGGCGACCGCAGTTATTAGTGGCCTAAGTATGCATCACGCTCTACTTTTTGGATGCAGTGTAACAATCCAAATTTGGTGGTCATGCAAAATGAGAGTTACTTCTGTAGGTGGCGAATGACTAGTATGAACCACATGGCCATGCACTTAATGAGTATAGAGGAGCGGTGTCTGGCTGCTCCTATGGCATTCCTTTCCGTTTCCGGAAGTCTCGACACCTTGGTGCACACAGCAAGGGGGATGGTAAAGCTGACGGGATATTCTGTATGGACCGTGAGCAGTGGAATCGCACGCTACTATCTTTCACAGTCATTTTATACGCTCGTTCAATGGGAGAATGAGAATAGTAGTCTGCTCCTACTCTGCATTGAAGCTTAAGGGTAGTATTACCAAGGCATGACGAGGACACTGAGGGATTATTTATATAGACTTCAAACAAGTAATACTGCATTTCAGCCAAAGTTCGTGGAAAATATGGAAATGATAAGGTGATTATATATCTTAGTAGCCACACACCAACACCAAGCATCTTTGAACAATCGACAATAATATGAAGTAGTTGAGAGTGTCAGGATGGTTGTAGTTGCGAAGGTATACTTAAAGATCAATCCTTACCATGGACCGCATTGTTTAGCTTCCGGTCGGGATTGACCTCGCTTGCAAGCATGTCTCCCAAACCATGATTTATTTGTTCAAATATTAAGAGATGGTTCATTCGGAAAAGTGAATGAGATTTATCTTGGGAAATGGCTGTAGTAGTGGGCGTGAGAAGATTCACGAATGGTCCCAAGGAATGGTAATGGTGGGGCTGACAGGCGTATCAATGCTCAGCCCGGTCCAGGCTATTCCCCGCATATGCAAAATGCTATTTTCCAATATGCTAGAATTGAAGCTCTGTAAAGGCCCATCATAACGATATTCGACACAGTCCAAGTGATTTGATACGAACTTCAGACCCTGGGAAAGGGGAAGAAGGGAAATCCGGGCGAAATCGGGATTGGCGGGGATGAATTCGGATGACGTCGAGGGCAGGTGGGGTAGCTTCACTGCTAAATGCGACTCCTCCAAGTTGCTACTGTGTGTCGGCCTCGCATCTCGGCTCTTTTCTTTCCCCAGCTTCATTTAACCCTGTTGTCGTCTTTTCCTCCCCTTCCTCCTCTTCTTCAATTCTCATCCATCCATCCATCCCTCACCCAACCCAACTCATCCGTCTCATTCTCCCTGTGCGTCCGCTATCCGCCTGTGTCTCTAACATGTTCTCCAGACAGCTTCTGACTCTCCCTCTCAGAAGGTCCTTCCTGACCCCCGTTACACCCCTCTCTAGTCGTATCGTGCGCCCCCTTCACTGTTCCTCTACAGCCATGTCTGGTGTCAATAAGGCCTGTTGCTCGTGAGTAATGCCCTGTCAATGGCTTGTCCTTCATGCTCACCGTCACCAGCATCCCCCCGATCGTGGCCCAGGGCTACCAGGGCAAGGGCGAATACAAGACCATCAATGGCTTGAAGACTTGTAGGTCAAACACACTTGATCAGAAAGGACCAACTAATTCTCTACCCAGACGTCACCGGCCCCGAATCCGCTACCAAGGCCATCCTCGTCATCTACGGTATGATAGACCCGTTCCCAACCTGCCTACCACCCATGCTAAGATTTGCAATGACTTTCAGACATTTTCGGTTTCTTCCCCCAGACCATCCAGGGTGCCGACATCCTGGCCACCGCGAGCGAGCAAAAGTATCGCGTCTTCATCCCCGACTTCTTCCAGGGCGAGCCGGCCGACATCACCTGGTTCCCCCCTCAGACCGACGACCACAAGCAGAAGTTGGGTAACTTCTTCCAAACCAAGGCTGCTCCTCCCGCAAACCTGCCAAAAATTCCCTCCATTGTCTCCGAGGCCAACAAGCTCGCTGCTGGCGGCAGCTTCCAGTCCTGGTCGATCCTGGGTTACTGCTGGGGAGGCAAGATCACGACCTTGGCGTCTGGTCAGGATAACAAGCTGTTCAAGGCGGCAGTGCAATGCCACCCGGCGATGCTCGACCCCAACGATGCCAAGAGTGTCAACATCCCCATGGCGGTGCTGGCCTCCAAGGACGAGAACCCCAAGGATGTCGAGGCATTCGGTGCCAACCTGCAGCAGGCCAACTATGTCGAGACCTTCTCCACCCAGATCCACGGATGGATGGCTGCTCGCTCCAACCTCGAGGATGAGCAGGTGCGCAAGGAGTACGAGCGGGGATACCGGACCGCACTGGACTTCCTCCAGAAGCACGCCTAAACACTGACGGTCAACATGCCATAATGAATGGAATCTGAATCATGAAATTTGTGAAATCAAAAGTGTATATATGACTGTCAGCGAATGCCCAAGTACAGTTTCAGTACAATCATGACCTAATTAACATTCCAACTTAGCAGTAGATATATACTCAGTTGTAGTACGGAGGAGAAGTAGTTGAGTGTCTGTGCCGGTCGGACCATCTTGCCCGACCGGGCCATGCCGGGGAACCGGATGGCCGACGTCATCGCTGGAGCTCCATTACCAAGCTCATTCGCCTTCTTTCTTTGTGTTCTTCGACCTCCCTCGAACCGTCCGGATGCAGCCATCCCCTATGACCTTACCAGTGGACTGATCAGTACTAGCTAGACTAGATCGCTTTTTATCTGGGCTTCGTCCCCCACATCAATTGTTTATCCCCTTATAACAATTCATTAGCTCTCGTTCGGGAGACCGCAATGAGTGCGGACACCATTCAAGTGTGGCAGCATATCTGCTGGTCTGACTGATATCGCCCACACATTGTTCCTATCCTCTTGTCCTTACACAACTTCAAAAAGAACTCCTACCCGTTTGTCTCCGACAATCCCAGAATGTCCTTTTTCTTTGGACGTCGTCATTCCATCTCATCCGCCACTCTGGGTCAGGGCGATAACCTGCCCAGGAACGAGAGGGGCAGGAGAGCTTCATTACCCAATGTGTCCGATACCAACAGTACCGGATCCCACGCCAAAGGTGTAATCCATGATATCTTTCACAAGCATCGAGGAGACTCGGAATCGGGATCCTCATCCGGGACAAAGACGTCTAAATCGGTAAGGGTACCAACGCGTTCTGGAAGCTTTGCCAAGGGGAGCCTGACCATCTCTAGGAGGCTGACATAGCCCGATCCAATCCCACAAAGCCGGATACACTCTCTCAAGACGAACATCATGCTTCTCATCACCATTCGGATCAGGCTGCTAAAGCCCATCCACCACATCATAACGAGGGTCCCTCACACAACCAGCTGACAAAAAAGGACATCGAGACAATCTTCTCCGGGGCTCCATACTTTCTGCTGGAGAAGGGAAAGCATGGACTCTTCTACCCACAGATTATATTCCCTTTCGATGACCACGATCCCACCATTCAAAACCTCTGGGATAGACGGCCCCTTCCCCACGCCTCCTACACACTGTGCACTCTCCATGCTCATTTGCCTGTACCGGATGACTGGGTAATTGAGGGGGAAATGCCGGTTCATCTGGGGCACTGGAAACGATCGGAAGCTCCGAAGCGGGCGACTTTCGATGTCGGGGTTCATGAAGTACCTAACATGCTGTCGGTCAATGGAAAAGACGCTGGTACGATCGGTTTCCGTCACTTTCTCGAGCTGCCCGTCGCCGACTCGGTCATATACGCGGGCCCCGAGAAACCACGACCATGCTCTGACCTCCTCCACATCTCAACTCTACCAGCAACCGAGGCGTATGAACTGATGGGGCACTATAACGACCCATATGCCCAGTGCTCGGACGGTACCGTTCATGACCGGAAGAAGTTGCTGTGCGAAGGACCTGTTGCATGGAAGAGGATCGGTGTTCGCGATATCGACTTGCGAGCCCTAGTGGAGCGTCTCCAGACGCTCAAGACTCTCCGCTACGACATCTTGCACGGGGATACACCAAAGACGATCTTAGATATGGAATGTACTCGAGAGCTGTACAGTGGACTGTTCAATCGATTTCTGTACCCACCAGCGCGGTTTCTGCTTGCAGACGCCGGCGATTCCCATAGTCTGAAGGCTCAAATCAAAGCTTTGACAGTGGTATTGGCCACCCCTGGGGCGTGGTTTGACTTCAGCCTGATCGACTGGCGTTTGCACATTGGGCAAGTATTGTTTGAGAATCCTCCACACGACGACGGCGACTTCCTTGATCCGGACAAGTCTGACAAGCCCTGGGTGCATTTCACACTGGAACGCAAGTGGTTTCTCGTCCAGATGCTGCTCGCCGCGGAGCTACTGATGCGTTTGGATGCCACTGTTCGAGTTGGAATGCTGCAGAATGCGAGAGATATCGATGTTTCAGTGCATGATGTGTACGAGTTTGACCGGCTACGGAGTGGTAAGCTGAATTGGGATCTGGTTACAGTTCGACGTTTTCTGGACAGCTTCCACTTCGCCTATAACCCTGTGGAGCCTGACAACCCTTCTCCGACCATACATGCTCCGAGCAAGTCGCCCGAGCGGCATCACCATCGTGGATTCCTCGAAGCCTTCACACATCACTCTACATCTTCCGCCCATAATGATGAATCCGCCTGGCGGTGTCATCTGGCTCCCAGCCACGTTGACCAGGAACTAAAAGGATTGTTCGTATTTGCAGACAATATTGGCTGGCCAGGACTGGATGCATTCAAGAGCGCACTGCGGTCCAAGCTTGAGGGTGAGGGGGTGGAAAAGAAAATCGAAGCCGCCTACACCATACCTCTCACCAACTCGCTACCTGCAGAGTATGCCACACTGGACTTGACAAAAGAGATGTATAGCAGATCTCCATCGCGCCGGCTGCTCCTCCTCCATTCTCCTCACAGCATACGTCCCTTGAACATTGGTGGTTGGATTACGCGTAGCTGGCTGGCGGGGTTGGTAATCCCTGGCGAGTCCATCAGCCACCTTCTCATGGCAACCATCCTAGAAAACGACGAAGAGGCGATGGCTACACTTGGACCAGTCGCCAACGTTTACGGTGGCTTCACGTACAAGGGAAAGACTTGGTGGAGTAAGAAGTGCATTGTTGGGCGAGTTCTGGCCAGCCAGCCGGGTACAAAGGTCTGTTTGGCGTGGCTGGCAAGCGGCATAGTGCCCAAAGACTCTGAAAGTGGAGAGCACTTTGTTAACACGTGGTTTGAGGTGGATGTCCGCGAGCCGCCCCGACGTCCAGGCAAGCCACGCATCAAACACGGAAACCGGCTTTCCTTTGACTCGACGCCTCTGGGGTTGGGAGAGCTTACGAGTGGAGTATTCTTGCTGCCTGTCGATGGCCCCTGTGATAGCTGGTCGAAAGCAAACATCGACTTTCAGGACCTCACCTTTTCCGTTGATACGAAACGAACAGGCCATAACTTGACCGTGGTCCAGAAGGCTTATGCCAATTTTCTTCTGGCTTCCACTGCTACTGGACCTACCCCAGTGTCGTTTGAGTTGGCCTACAACGTCCGATTCATTTCTTCCCACGAGTGCCATCCACCCGGGGGGTCGGTCAACTATCAGAATCCCCCAAGCACAGCGGATGGCGGGTTGTCATCCTCGTCATCAAGCCATGTCTCTCATAGACATCATCGTTTACCGGGCCACCCGTTGCACCGATCGTACGCGTTCAAGTGGGTGCCTCTAGAATCCTTAGCGGAGACATCTCACTCGGATGGCCACAGCAGCGGACTAGGTAAGGAAGAGATCCTCCTCCTTGACGCGCGGGGCTCGCACGACAAGGAAACATTTGCACGAGCATGGTGTGCGTCTGTTGGACATCATGCCGTCATTGGCAAGGTCGGACGGACCTGTCTGGCGTGTTGCATTCGCGAAGCCCGAGCATTGCAGGTCAAGGTGGTGATTCGCATTGGAGACGGGATGTCGACGCCCTCCTCGTCGATCCAGGTATTGTATGGTGGGGAGTAGGATAGTTTGATTGGTTGACACCTGAAAGGGTCTGGTTTCGGTCGCACGTAGTAATGCCTGCCATTTTCCCGTGTCGTTTGTATGTGATAGTATCCTTCAAAAATACTCTGATCTAGACATGGCCTGTTTGTAGGTATCTGCCTGGTAACTTGGGGGTTAGTTGTGTAGTGTTACGGTGCACGGGATGATGCCCTTCAGGCCGGGCTGTTTGCCGGAAAGGCAAATACCCGTTTGGTGTCACCCACACCATCTTCCTCACTTGCTCATTGCTCTTTCAATCTCTTCTTCACCCGTGGGAAATCATGGCGGGGGTTCTTCCTCCGCACCATAAGTACCCCAAGGCCTTCAAAGCAAAAGCATTCTTCAACTGTTCTTACCGCCATCACTTTCTAGATTGTACTGCTTTTCTTATATACTTTTTCCCCGTTCTGTATACTATACGATGCTGCTATTTACAGCCATCAAGTCGCCAACTTCCCCATCCAGATTCCCTCTTTGAGCTGATTTTCAAACCTTGCCTCGTGAAGGATATTTCGTCTTGGATGGGGGCGAAACGCGCCCTGTGGATATAGATCGGCAGCGATAGGGGATCGGTTAAGATATCAAGAATGATGATAATTGCCTTGGGACGATTCGTCGTAGGATCGTCGACTCGACTATCCTCACAGAAGAAGCTTTCTTTAAAATTTAAACGGGAAGCTCGGCGGTTCAGGGAGACATGGTTGCGAAGTCTTTGTCGAGGGTATTTCTCGATAGATCTATTGAGCTTGGCTTGGGTGGGCACAGTGCGCTACAAGATGTTGTTGCTACAAAGGATGCAGTTCACTTCTGTCTGGGGAAGCATGAGCATCTGAAGAAATGGGCGGAGGTCATGAGGGCCTGATGGGAAATTCCCAATGAAAACGAGACTTTGAAATGTCTTGTGGTTGATATCTACTCTACTCTGCACTTGGGATACGAGAACCCACCCACGGCTCTTGATACGGGCGGTACAGCGAGCAGGGTGAAATTTACAACATTCTATAACAAGCGATTTATGAAGACGTACTGGACAGGACCACACACATGTGGAAACGGCATACCCTGAAACATATTGTGTTTCTGTATCTCTCTGCTCTGTCAAGTCTGTTTCACCCGTTCCCCCCCTTTTCGTATGGCTCTGCTGTGTCTAAGTGTTTGACCACGACAGTTGTACCATGTGCTAGAGTTTCTCAAATTCATAGCTAATGTTTCAGAAATTCTAGATGACCTACCTCAACACGATTTTCGGGATATACCTGCGAAAAAGCTCCGCCAGTTTTCCTCACTGGCGGCTTCCAGCGACCCTTGGCCTTCCCAATAATGTCGGATCATACTTGTTCATTCGATTAACGAACGTGCTTAGCATTTTGGTCCATGGGGATTCGGAATCCGCACAGAATCTGGGCGATGGTCGTATCATGGAATATCGATAAACGGAGAGGATAACCACAAGGTAAGCAATCTGGGTATGATCAAATCTTGCTTGAAGCTAATCATACCTGACTTTCGCAGCCTCTGAAAAAATCATGAACCTCGGCCTCACACACTCGAAGACGTCGGCACAGCTGTTTTCCACGATGAAGACTAATGGCCCGACTGGTCTTTACTCAGTATATAAATCACAGGGGAGGATTAGCGAACATTCTTGGAGCTGGGAATTTCTTAGAGAACTCTCCTCCCCCAGTCACACTTCTGTTGCGTCTTGTCCGATCCATATGTTGGCCTCACAAGCTCTTAACCTTGGTATAAATGGCGAGGCTGATAGTTAGAAGGAGAAGGCTGTAGTGCTAGGATGCATGCTGCATGCCGATTCGAATCCTCATTGGCAACACGTGGTTGGATAGCCACAACACTGCCACTGGACAGGCTTTCCAAACAACAAGCTTTCTCAGTTCCTGCCTGAAACTTTTCACATTGCTTGCACTCCACAGTCGCCATTGCCACTGCTTCGAGAGCTGGATTGACCCAGTCACCATACAACAAACGGAGAATACCAGCAGAAGCTTCCCAGTGTGCCCAGCAAGAAGGTTGGGCCCTCTGGTTTGGGCGATGCAACTCTCAGAGCATTAATATCACTATAAAACGAGTCGTTAGACCGAGTTAGCGACCTCCGGCAGCGCCAGTCGAAGAAGATTCGATGGAGGTGGAGCCCCCGACCGTTGATCACGTACCTGGTTTTGTGTCAACTGGTAGTCTAAAGAAAGCTTTGAGTGGATGTTGACACCAATGTCCATGGGCCTAGAAACAAGCTTATGGCTCTCCTGCGCAGCTGCTACGCCTTCGACCCCCATACGTCCAGGAGGTCTAGACCGAAGCTATTCAACCTATACGCATTCTCTGCGGGAAAGGTGATCTAGAACGTGGCTCGCATTTTTACATTCGGTGGCATGTTGCTCGCTTCTTCGAACAGAGGATCCAAGCAATCGATTTCGGTGTCTTGAAGCAGCGCTTACGACAAGTATTCATGCGCAAACGGCACAACTCCTGTGTTTGTTGATCAGTGTAGGTCCTTGCACCTGGCCAGTCATGTGGATTCTTATGTCGGCTAACATTCAACAAGTCCTCACGCAGATTCTTTGTCAACCCTCATCCCGATTAGGTGTCATTCACAGTTTCTCTGGTATATGCTCTTCGAGCATGAACGGAACGACCATTGCTGGATTCGGATTACAACGGGGAGAGATGATGGGTTGATATGCTTCGGGTGTTACATTACGCGGCCTGATTGGCTCCTGTTAAGTAGTCCAGATGGTGCATGATCGTGACCCTTGGGCTAGGGTACCGCAAAAGAGCGTTTCGTTTGCTGCCACCACACTCTTTGGTCAAGGGGCTACAGCCTGGACACCGGCGGAAAATACATGGCGTTACAGCCACGGGGATAGTACGTCCGATCTTGAGTCGTCGAGAAGGGGTTTTCATAGGAGGATCAAGCAGAACTATTGTTGGAGGTAGCGGCAGAGAGGGACGCATCAATGAGTACAGCCAACAGTGATGCTGTGGGTGAAACAATATAACCAGATAACATCAAGTCAGGTTGTGCTTGATTTAGTCAGGATGCGATCAATGCAGACAATACTTCGTCGAAGAATATCCACCAATTCCTGTTCCATATGTCCTTGTTTCTGGTGTACTTCATCGAATGCTCTCAAAGCTGGCTCTCAAAGCTGTGAATATGACCTTCCAAATGGCACACCGCCGCTAATGTCTACATGGATGTTTCATGGTGCTCTCACTCCGATCAGCTCTATCGTTGGCAGTTTTGGGTCAAGGTTTCGGTTCAATATCAACCAAACTAGATCTCGAGGTCTGCAATGTTCTTGGTGCTCCAGCCTCTGTGCATATCCTCTCCTGTAATTGAACGTCGATGACTGCCTGCATCGTTGTACTCGGGATGTATGGTGCTTTGAAATTGGATTGCCCTTTATCCATCTAGTGGTACCATGCCTGTGGGCTTAGCATGAATTCCAGAAGCCCAGTGGGACAACTCCGTATCAGACGATTTACGGAGACGCCTAACTGACATTACGACGCCTCCACCCTATCGTCTTGCCCTTGTCGGTGCCCGTATCAAAAGAAGGCCTCCAACAGACCCGTCTAGAAAACGACACAAGGTATGTATGATCCCATCAATCTTATCCTCGCAGGTTAGTAGAATATGTTTGGCTAACCAATTGTGCGATACTATACAGGTCACCGGACTTGCGAAGTAATATTCAGACACCAGACAACGCGTGTTGTCCACGTATTTCCGACCATGAATTGTCTCATGAGAAAGAAAATCACGGCACATTCCATACGCAAACAAAAATGCCAGGATGCGTCTTACAACCTTGAAGATATCGGTACTCAGATGCCATCACACACATATATTATAATGTCTGGTCCAACAATGCACAGCTGCAATTGTGGTTGCGGCCATCACAGTGAGCGACGTGGTCGTCAATAATAATCTAGAGAAATTCATCAGGATTTTCGAATTAGTGTGCCATGTCTTTCTACGGCCCTTGCTAGATCAGGACGAAAGATGGGTCACTATCCTGTCATCACAGCTCCTGGGAACTGTTACTGGAGCGTCGATCGACTCTGTTCCTATTCATTCTGGCGGGACATTTGGCATCGGTTTTAATCATCAACGTCCACAGCAGAGCTGGCCCAGATTACACACAATATGGCACCCACCTCACCGTCTTCCTTTCCACTCCGTGCAATGGCTCACGCTCAGTGATCGTATTCTCAGCATCTTCGGTTCTAATATGCGTTGTCTCCGAGACGAATGCTTCAAAGTCTATGCGCAAGTATTCTCCTCTGAAGAGGACTACTTGGACGGTGCAAGGAGGGAAGAGTAATTGGAGATACTTTCCTCTCCATATGCAGACACCTTATTCTTTCTCTATTATATCGAGCTACTGCATCATCTGGAATAAGGAATTAGGTTCTTCGTATGAGAATAGAATACCCCAACTCAGACGATGAGAGCGGAAAGTCATGCTAAACGGCATAGAGGAATGCCTTAGGAAGGAAATGAAGGCAGAGAGAAAAGAACAAAATAAGATACTCTCAACTACTCGGAAGATCCAGAACAGGTAGATAGCGTCCCTTCAACTAGTTCATTAGGATCAAGAAGCCGAAGAGGATATGGGAGATGAGATGAGATCCGATGACCGAGGAAGACGAGGAGGAAACCTCTGACGTTGCTTGCTGTCAGAATTTCATGTTTTCTTCTGTATAGGTCTACACCGTCTCTGAGGAAAAATAAGGAAAAAGGAAAGGCTCGAGTGTTGTAGTAGTAGTAGTAGTAGTAGTAGTAGTAATAGTAGTAGTAGTAGTCCTGACAAGACTATGATCGGATTGTATAATCTCTTTCGTTATTTTCTACTGGGTATATATTTTGCATGCATATTGGGGGAAAGTATTCCTTTTTTATACTATCGCCCATCATTTGACTAATTTTATTTTTACTTACTATATTCTCTTATCTTGAATTCTGTTTTATTTTTTTATTTTTATTTTTATTTTTTTTTTCTTGGTGACGAAGAAGAGGAATGGTATGTACGAAAGGCAATATAGTTTATTTCATGTGGATTTGTAAATAATTGAAGATGTACTGGGAGTATCTAAGTAATAGTTAGCTATTAATCTGTAAATTGAGGAGTTGGTGAGTTGGTACTAGTATATATTTTCAGTAACAGTGCCGTATCAACCAAGTGTTTTGTGGGTTATACCAGAAACATCAATCCTTCTAGTTTCCCTGGGAAGAATAGAACCCAGATAAGTTGGTATTATTGTCCATACTACAAAACTACATTAAGCTTTACTAAATTGCACCTATACTATAGAAAGAACATTGGAGCGGACCCGCGAGCATTCCTCACTAAATTGTTCGCTCCTCCCGAAGGAGCCGGATCCATGTCTTTTACTTCCTTTATAGCGGTCGCTAATTATAGCTTGGCTTGCCTCGCATTGCTGCAAGTTCTGTTGGCTGGATACTGAATCCAACGTTTAGAAAAGATTTGATTCGACCTGCATCGAGTTGGTGCAGTAGGTTATGGTGAGGCGTTCCAATACCCCTGAAGGCACGGTAAGTCTAGAATCTGATTCTAGCAGCGCTGGCGTCTATGTCGAGAGCTAGGCACCAAGGGATAATTGTCTCTGGAAGAGAC